TTTGGAAGGCTGGAAGGCAATCCTTTGTCACTATGCCGGTCATGGAAGCTGAGTTGTATGCAGCAGCTCAAGGCTACAACTTGCTGGAGTCCATTTCGTCTGTGCTGCAAGAGATAGAGCCGAATGCTTTCGACAGGATTTTGGCGGTCGATAATAGCAGTGCTGTATCGATGTGCTCAGGCGGACCCGGGAGCCAGAGAACAAGGCACCTTAAGGTGAGGGCTAGCTTCATCAGGGAGGCAGTGGCTTCGGGACGCCTGGTGGTGAAGCACACTCCGGGCGAGCTACAGCTAGCCGACCTGGTGACCAAGCTGGTTTCTAAGGAGCGCTTGTGGAAGTTGCTGGGGCTATGGGGTTTTATTGGTGGCAAGGTTGTGAAGATGATGGAAGCTGTAAAGTTGAAGATGATGGCTTTCGTGTTGACTTTGCTTTCCATGGCTACCCCTGCTGATGGCCGAGATCTCGAGAATCCAGACAAGAAGGCGATCGAAGTTTCGGGGTTAGATGAGCTGATGGTTGTGGGTGTTTTGGTTTGCATCGCTGCAATTGCTGTATGGGAGCTGTTCAAGTGCGCGACAAAGTTCGTATGGAGGCAGTACAAGGCTGCCAAGAAGGCGAGCAAGTTGGAGCGTGTGAAAAGGCTAGCAGCAGAAGCGGCAAGGCGAGAGGTGAATCAAGCGAGCACCACCACCATGCAGGATGATGGCACCTGTGATTTGATGAGCCCTTTGAGACTTCGAGCCTCAAGGGCAACGCCGGAGGACAGGGGCCCATCAAGGCCAGCAAGAGAAACCACGAGAGCACCTCCCGAGGAGGAGCCAGCTACGACTACCCCGACAAGACGAACAAGTCAGGAGGAGCTTGGACCTACGACCAGCCCGATGACGCCGGGTTGGAGTCTCCGCGCCGAGACGGAGGTTCTGACCAATCTACCTCAAGAAAGGCCCCGGGTGATACGCGACACCTTGGAGCTGATGACGACAGAATCCCTAAAGGAAGCCCTACGGTGTGTGGGGTCTCCGGTTAGTGGACTCAAGAGGGACCTCATTGAGCGGCTCTCTCCTTTCCTGGGAATTGAAGAACCGCGAGCTGGGGGTATGCAACCCACGACCAAGCAGCTCAAGTACATTCTCTACATATGGAGAGTTCGTTCGCCAGTGGACGATGCATTCTGACATGGCACCTCCTCGCGTCCAAGCAAGCAGTGTCGGAATGGATCAGTAGATGGAAGACTAATGACATGAGATGAGCACAACCTTCGAAGGTGCTCTGGAGCCGCAGGCCCCGAGCAAGGAGGAGTGTAAAGATCCGTGCTCAGTGTGCTCATGTGTACGATGCATGTCTTGACGTTGTGCTGCAAACAAGATGGCTTAGTCGTGAAGACTTAGCAAAAGCAGTGGACAGCAGTCTAATGAAGTTGCAGGCATTGCGCAATAGCAGTACCTTGCAAATGCATGTGTAAAGATCGAACTGATAAGCTTGACACGTTGCTAGTGTGAAAAGGCCGTTGAAGACCTGTCGCGAATGGGCTTCGGTGCTGCACTTGGAGCCTGATTATCTTCAGAATCCCTATCCAGTGGCCAAGGAAGGCAGCTCTTGCCTTCTGGTTCTCTTGTGCCCAGATCTGCCGCAGGCAGGATGACACAGGATGGAGGTACTTTGTTAATTACCATCATGTACCCTGCACATTCGGAGTTTTGTTGTCTCAGTGCAGTCGCTCTCTGAGGGGAAGTAGCATGACTGTTGCGACTTTCAGGAACAAGGGGGAACAGCAGCTTTGTGAAATTTCTTTTCGCGCGAACATGCCAGAAGGAACCTTGAATCGTCTGGAATCTCTCGATGCAGGCTATGACGGCTATGATTCCACGAAGACGTTGCATTCGCGGTTTGCTGCGTTGCTTTCCCAGTGTCTTGTTAGTATTGTCATTCGGACCTAAGTCAAGCTCACTTGTTCGAAAACATCTTCGAGGACTTCGATGATGGAGCTTTGCATGCATTGTGCTTGCGTTTGGAGAGAAGCTCAGAGGCTTTGCCGGTTCTTCCCTGGTCAGAAGAGTGTGCGAGGCTTTCTGACTCTGAGAGTCCGAAGGGGAAGCTAGCTTCCGGAACCTCTGTGCTTCGTTGACCCACAACGTTTTGTGACGTCGTCTCTGTCCAGACCCTGTCGTACATTGACGATCTTCTTCTGGGCACTGAGTCAGCAACTCATCCGGCATCTTCTTCCGATGCGACTGCTCTGCGGCCGATGATTAAGTGAGTGAGTGAGTGTTGAAACTTCCGTACTTGGAATTTGAGTATTGTAATGTCTACAAGTGGACATCTGGAAAGACACTTCTTTCGGTTCATCGTGATCCTGATATGACAGCTATTTTGTGGAACAAGGGTGATCATGACCATGTCTTTTCTTGACGATGTCTCAGCTCCTTCCGTGTCTTCAAGACATGTCAGCGAACATTTGGTCCATCAGCGTGTTTTGGAATGAATCGAAAGGCCGAACTTGTAGAGGGCCTGATGCTGGTTTGGATTTCGCGGACCAGCCAGCACCAGCTCCCGCAGTGCCGCAACAGCCCGCTACGGACGATGGCGTGGACTCTCCGGGTTACGGCGATCCGCACGGCGATATGCCGGTGGATGATGAGGACATGCCGCCTCGTACCAATTCACAGCCTGAGCCGGATCTAGATGATGATCCTATCGAGCTGGAAACCGGGCGATCCTCCTTCACAGCCTCCATCAAGATGGAGGCCCCGGTCGGGAGACTTTTCCAATCAGCAAACCCCACTCCCGGAACCCTCCCCGGAAGGGAAACAGATGTGTTTTTTTGAGGCAGCTATGACTCGCACCCTTGAGCGAGCTGGCGCTGACAGGATCCGCGTGCGCACGCTCCACTTGAACAACACCATTGCTGCGACAAGAGTTGCACTCGCGCACGAGGCCCTCGCCACCATGTTTGCCGACTGTGCTTGCGCTCTCAGGTCGATCTGATGAGCAGTGACCCTAACATGGCTCTGTATCGAGCCAAGAGTCGCAAGCACGAGAGCATGGACATCAGAGGTGGCAAGTGCCAGAGCACCCTCGACTAATTCCTGGAGGCCTGGTCAGAGTCCTCGCTGTTCCCCGCATCTGTGCTACCCCAGATTGCAGCACGTCTCCGCCAACAATCTATGTCTCCTCAATTCAAACAGTACGAGGACCTGCGGCCAGATGGAGTACAGGAATGGCTCCTCAATTCGACGTACCTTCACGGTGACCGCGATTTCGATGCCCACATTCCACTCCTGATCGAGGTTTACGCGAACCAATACACCGGTGGCAGGATGAGGGCACTCAATCGGAATCCCGATACAGTCAAAGAGGCAGCGGACAGGAGGAAGCCGATACAGAAGGCGAACAAGGCCCGCGGAACTTCTGATCCGGCGCCAGCACCGACTGAGGCAGGCTTTCCACAGGGTGCAGTCTCAGGTGCACCTTCGTCTGGTTCTCAACGTCCTCCGAACCCTCACGAGCACCTGGTGGAAAGGCAAAGGCGGCGGCAAAGGAGGCAAATCCTCCAAAGGCAAGGAAACTGCCAAGGGCAAGAACAAAGGCGAGGGCAAAGGAAAGACTTGACTATATTCTGACCCCGAGATGGAACTGCCTACGTAGGACCGGTTGTACGAGTCATGTGGCGTGAGCTTCTGCGGGATCCATATTCTGCTCCGAGAGCCGCGCGGCAGTTTCGTGGCAGGTTTGATCCAGTCCGGCATCATCCTACCGTCGTGAGCTTGTGGCATGACAATTACCAGCGGGACGGTGTACACCGGGATCGAACTTGAGACCGTGACATCGAGGCAGTTGATTAAGTTCTTTCACGGACTGCTTCTCACAGGAGAAGGTATCCTTCTGGAGTGCTTTGCCATTTCATCGGGAGATGCTTTTCTTAGGACAAAGGACTTCCTCAGTGTTGCCCAAGGACAAAAGAGGTACTTATCACAGGATAAGATACTCATCAACCATTCGTGAGTTTCCGCAAGCCGCAATCTGCCATCGCTGCAACAATTGGAGCTAAGCTCTACATGTTTGTGCAGTATGCTTTCCATCTGGAGAAGAAGCTGAACATGTGGGCATTTTCAAGCAAAGAGTTTGTCCGAAGATCCGTTTGCGTTTCGTGTGCCAGTTCTGCTCTTTTTTGATATGCTCTCCAGGCTGAGATGTATGGATTCGCGCAAGCTACCGTAGCGCAATCACTCCGCCATTAAGTCACTGGGGCAATAACGGGCTAGTAGAGTGCCGACTTCACGGCCATGCAGCTCCACGTGTTTTGACACTTGTGCCTGGTTGAAACATTGAATGTTACACAGCCAGTGCCTGTCCGTTTCACGAGCCTTTTGCATGTATCCATGCCTGTTGCTCGAGGTCCTAGCAGAGCCGGTGTTCCTCTACGCCTTGCGAGGGGACACACGCCCAGGTTACATCTCAGGTGGGGGGAGGTTTGGGGGGGCCACTGACGCGGCGACGCCGGACCATATATACACCCACATGTAAAGACCTACTTTGCATGCAAGCAATCAACACCTCTAAACATGACATAGACGTCTCAACTGGAGCTTCCTTGCCCTTATTACATATACTGTTGGAATTCCATGATATCACCACGACTAACAGATAAAACCTAACCGTTGGTACGATTTAACCAACCATGTAGCTATGCCTTGTTGTACCTGAGAGACGGATGCAAAAGGGTTGAGGCCAGCAGCGTAGACTATGTTTCTCTGATCACGTGCCTCCGTCCGATAAAATCCTCATAGGAATAGATCCGAAAAAATCATCAAAATAATTCGTTGAACTATAACACCGTCCGGAGACTGCTTGCTACAAGCGGCGACTTGCATTGAGGCTACTTCAAAGTCTTTCTTTACATGTACATACATATACACACACGCGCACGCACACATAATATGTGTACATATATGGCTGAATGCAGGGTTTATGGAGTGCCTGCCTCTGTTGAGCCTAAACGCATGCCACCAACTGCAATGCCGCAGTCACTTGGAGCAGGGGGGATGTAGATGCCTCCCACCAAGATGCAAAGATGGCTTTCGTTCGGGTGTGTATTGCAACTTCGGGTTTGGGGTTGAGCTTTCGGGGATTTATTGAGGATAATCACACGGGTTAGGGGGTGGCAGTTTGAGGATTTACAATTTAGGGTTTGGCCAGGATTGTGGCCTTAGGGCTTGGGCCTCGCGGGGAGTTTAAGATCTACGCCACAAGTTGGCTTGTTTGACGTGTTTGTCAAGGTGAAGCATTTGTGAATGTGATTCCGCAATAGTTAGCAGGATCCTAAGTCGTTACAAACAGCCTTTGCATCAGGATCCCAAAATAGGTGGCATTAATCTTCTGATACCCCCAGTTGCCGGGATTGGTCATACCATTTGTAATTTCTAACCAAACGATATGCGGCCATCAACCTTTAGAATCGTGCGACCCAGCGGGTGTAGATGTACGCCATAAGATGCAAGCCAGACCTAGGGCAGCAAGGGTGCTTACAACCCAAGATGTTAAGTCCTTCTTCTTCCGTGAGCAACGGGTAAGCACAAGGGTAATAGAGTTTTGTTGCGCGCACCACATGTACTAAACCCAGAACCAGCAGACACCCCGACACCTGATCCTTGAACCCTAAAACTGCGATCGAATCCCCCAGCCTCTAAACACCAGATGCAGATCTCGCATTCGCGATGTGAAAATCAAGAATCATTACAGAAGGGTATAATGTAGAATTCTAGGGTTTGGGATTCAACTTAGTCCAAGCCCAAAGTTCTAAACCGGGCCTACATCTTTGTACTCGGTTGTATTTTCCAGCCAGTCGTGGATGTACTGGTTGGCCTCACCGGTATCTAAGTGTGAGCTTGAACAGGGTGCGGTCGGGTCTGGTTGAGCAAAGATAGCTCTCCTGTTCCAAAAGTTTCCAAGCAAAGGCAGGGACAAGAATTGAACACCTGTGTTCAACTTCACATTCCTCTATACTATAGTAGTTCTCCATTCCTTAATCATCGACTAGTGCTAGTACTAGTGCTAGTACAAGTACCAGTACTACTACTAGCACTACCACTACCACACTACCAACTACTACCACTACCACTACTACAACCACAACCACAACCACACCCACTGCCACTGCGCCTGCTCCGGCTCCGGCTCCCGCTCCCGCTGCTGCCCTTCTGCTGCATGCTCCTGCTCTTGCTCCTCCTGCTGCTGCTGCTGCTCCTCCTCCTGCTGCTGCTGCTGCTCCTGGTCCTGCTGCTCCTGCTCTTGCTGGTCCTGCTCCTGCTGCTCCTGCTGCTCCTCCTGCTCCTCCTGGTCCTGCTGCTCCTGGTCCTGCTGCTCCTGCTCTTGCCTGCTCCTGCTACTGCACTCCTGCTCCTGCGGCTGCTGCTGCGGCTGCTGCTGCTGCTGCTGCTGCTGCTGCAGCTACTGCTACTGCTACTCCTATTCCCTACTCCTACTCCTACTCCTACTACTACTGCTGCTGCTGCTACTACTACTACTAGTACTACGACGACACGTAGAAGGCCTGGTGTTTTCATGTGTTGCGGACCGAACTCAATCTTCAGACTTGAGCACCCCTACAGTTTTTTCGGCTGCTAGGAAAAAGGGAATGCGCAAAACATGATGCGCTTAGCGACGTGAAGTGGTGTCGAAAGTGCTGGCAGGCCCGAGAAACTGGAGCATAGTTCATGTCAAGGTCAGGGTGTCACAAATCACAAAGTAGTTATTGAACCTTTGGGTCTTTGTGATACTTAAAGTCTGCTACGGGGGTGCATCCTTCCCTGTCTTACGCAAACAGATCACATAGGAAACCAGCATATAACAACATAGCTCGGTCAAACATGAGATCAAACGTGATGGAAAGGCAAACTACACCCCTGAAATCACTGAAATGGCAATCTGAGAAAGCTGATCCGAAATCGCTGTTGAAGAAAGAAGCGTTTAGCGACATGAAGTGCCTGCAAGGCCGAACAATTCGTGTCACGTCGAGGACGAAACAAGAACGTCATTAGCCTCCCCTCACCCCGGAAGAAGACAAGAACTCACAAAGCAGGAAACAAAGAAAAACGTCATGACGAGGAAGCACGAAACAAGAACGTGATTCGCCTCCCCCGCACCCCTCCTCCGCCCTGAAGAAGACAAGAACACACAAAGCGGGAAACGTTAAAAACAAGGTCACGACGAGAAGATGCACGAAACAAGAAGAACAACAACGTCATTGGCCTCCCCCCGCCCCCGCCTTCCCCCCCGCAGAGCAGGCAAAGTAAAGCAAACTTGCCTGAAACCTCCGGGCCTCCTGTGGGCGCATGTGGTACTACTACTGCTAACAATAATACTACTACTACTACTACTACTACTACTACTGCTACTACTACTACTACTACTACTACTACTACTACTGCCGCCTTGAAGCGGGTCTGGCAAACGCTTCCAACAAGCTTCAAGGCCGGAACCAAACACAATCGTGCAATTAAAACACGCAGAGCAATCCTAAACACCCTGGCGTTAAGAAATTCGTTGAGCCAATCCTTGGGTGCCTGGCGAAAGATAAGGCCTGTGACAAACATGTTACAACAACGAACAAACACTATGAGCAACATGTGAGAAATATGAACGAAATGGAAAAGGATGACCCAAGTGTGAACAAACTATGACTAGAATTTATGGGTTCGCCCGGGGAATATGAAAATAATGTGAATGAAAATATGAACAATTTACGAATATAAGTTGAACATATTCGTGCTTTTGACACCCTCTTTATGCTGTTTCGGCTGCTTCATACTTTCCTTTACTTTGTATTTGTTACTTTATGTCTTCTTATGTTTTTTGTCTTTAAGTCTTTTCCCTAACGACCGAGCCTTTTTCCACCTCCCTGCTGGCCCCCGTCCCCGTCCCCAGGCCTCTCGATCCGGAGATATTGACAAGTAAGAAAAAGTATAAAACTATGAACAACTATGACAAACCTGGCGCAACATATGAAGAATAGCACGATGTACGAAAAACCAAGAAAACTATGAACAACGTGTGAACGCTTGAAAAATCGCATGAAAGTAGGAACACCATTTCATAAACATATCACATACATGTCACGCTCTGATTCATAATCAGTTCATAGTTTGCACAGTCTTCCATATTCCCTGTCAGCCGATCCATTCTTAATAGATATTTTGCATGTTGTGTCACGTCAACGTTCATAAATGAGTCTTCAACCTATCTTTTCATTGATTTCTACAGATCAGCTGAGAAAGATTGTTCCCATCCTGGGGGGGCAAACGGCCAACCTTAAACCAAAATATACGCAGCCCAGAGACCTGCACGTTGAGAGCGCAGCCGCCCATCAACACGACCCCTTCCACCTGCTGTAAGACTCTCATCCCTTGTTGGGACCCTCTACAACATGAACAGAAGCGTGGACGCTTGCATGCCCTGGACCCCACGACCATAAACCCTTCACCTGAAGCAACTAGCGCTGTTCCGAATGCGGCGATTCACGCACCTCCCTGTTTTGCTGGGAGACTTGACTAAACTTCAAGTTTTGCTGTGTCCGAAAACGCTGCTTTGGATCACCTGCAGGGGTCCCAGCATGTTTCCAGAGTGTCCGGATCGAGCTTAAACTGGCCGGTTCCTCGTGGCACACTACCATCTATCCATCAGGGCACCTCCCGGCTTCACGCTCGACTCACGCCAGCATGACGCCCTCGGTTGCCCTCAGAAACCTTGCGCATACAGCCGAAAAACACCTTTCAAGGAGCCGTTTTCATGGCTTAAAGCCTCTTGTGTTTTGTATCTTTTGACCATGAGGCAGTCAATGTGGTGCAAGACGGGGCCGTTGGTATCTAAACTAAGCAGCTAGTTTCCGCAACAAACCGACTCTGAACCCAAACCGAATGCAACAAGAATGGTCTCTCAGCCGCATGTCTTCTCCAGATGTCTGGAAGCCAATGCCAACAGCAGTTTCCTGTGTGACAGATCCGCCACAAATCGCCCAACATCTACAAGCGTTTAGGTGAGCGTAGTTCCGCTTTGTTGGAATCCCTGCATGTGTAAATCAATGACTCGAAATCCAGCCGGACTGTACAGTACAACCCTTCTACAGTACTACATGTACATCAGAATCAGAAACCCCCCATCATCGGACTGACAGTATAGCCACAAACTCGCAAAACTCTTCACAAAATCGAAGTCCCAAGGCCTAATCACACTTTCACGGTTAAACGTCATGGCAGTGGGCCTTCAATACTGAGAATCATTGCACTATCAGATCACAATCTAGGGACAGAGAAGGGAAACGGTTGCGATGTGTCCAGGCACAAAAAGTCCAAACCTTAACCCAGAGCCCTAAGCTTCAATCCGTGAGCACTGACCCCTGCGACTTTACGTTCCTAATGGACCATTAACCTAACAAGGAAGCCCCGAACCCTAAACACGACAAGGCACCTTGTGATGAGGAGTCAGACGTTCCAGGAGGTTTTGGATCTCAGTCTCTCAGATTTTTCAAAGGCGTGAACATGAGATGGTCAAGATACAGAGACCGCTTCCGAACCGAAAACCCTCTCACGTAACTCCTTTCACAAAGGTGTTCATGTTAAAGGTATCTGTCAGCAGTGGATCATGGGAGGTGAGCAGCCTCGGATGCGAAAACATCGACAAGGATCGAAGTTCCTCAAATTTCCTGAAGCCTAAAATGCGAAAACTTCGGCACGGGTTCGAATTTCCCACAACTTCCTCCCAAACTCTGAGCAACTATGACCCCGCACTCCCCATAGATGCCGGGACTTTAGGGTTGTTTGGGAAATTCTATCCCTGCCAGTGTTTTCGCATTTCAGGCTTCAGGAATTTTCGTGAAATTCGAGCTTAACAGCGTTTTGGCAACTTCGGATGCCAAAACATCACCAGGCTAGAATTTCCGCAACTTTGTGAAGCTGGAGTGCTAAAACATCGGCAGGCTCGAAAGAGAAAGTCGAGCCTGACGATGTTTTGGCAATTCCAGCTTCAAAACAATTGGCGAAAATCGAGCTTGGCGATGTTTTGGGAAGCTCGGATGCGAAAACACGGCCAAACTCGCATTTCCGAAGATTTCTGAAACCTTGAAATGCAAAAGTAGCAGAAGAACAGCTGTACCGTGTGCTCACACGTGAACCTTGAATTCCTGCAGTTCCCGGCTGTGCTCTCGCGTCTTTCATCGAACAAAGTCATAGCTGTTGTTAAGATCAGCTTTGCCCAACAATAGAAATAGACGAACAACTGTACTTTGTAATATTGAAACCTGTCTGTGTTTGTGGACGTTCTAGACCGTTTTATGCGGATGCACTTGTTCGTTGAACTTTACATCCTATTTAAATACTGTCGAGTTCTTGTTTCTGAATCGAAGAAAGATCTTGCTAACAGTTGTGCCCGTTGCTTGAACAAAGATAACGGACTTCTTGTATTATATATTCACAAACTGAAGAGGTTGATAAGCTCCGATATTTCATATCATTACATATACAATGAATTCCCAGTAGCACCATCTTGCCTTAGTGAATAACAGGCAAAAAGTATCGTTCAGGCGACACTGGGCAACAAGGTAAATGAGGTTTCAATTGCCGCAATTGTTGGCGGTACTAATTACTTCTTCTCTCATCGAACAAAATCATAAGCGGGTCACGGTCTGCCTTGTTCAAGAAGATGGTTCCTTACAGCATAATGAGAAAAGATGTACTTCCGCCATTTGCCCGGAGGCTATGAGGACAGGTTTGGAGCTGTTTCATGCTGCATTCTTGGATGGTAGGAGCTTTATCACGTGTGCGAGTAGCACGGTGCAACGGAGCTCGATTATGTTCTGAGCCAGGATCGTCTTTCATCTTTAACAAGAAAAATGGCGAATGTGTTGACAGGAACAACGAATGCTTTCCAAATACATGCTTGTCTTACTTCCCACGAAGTATAAGAAGTACGAAGCTCGACAGACGTACTTATGACCGAATGTATTTTGAGTTTGATGGAGGGAGGCCACTTCTTTCCCTAAACACTCAGATTTAACTGTAGTATTGGTGGATTGGAAGAGCTCGTTGAGTTCCAGCTGCTGAGTTCCAGCCACCGATACGGGGAAAGGTGGCTTATTGTGTTTCTTTGTGATGAAACAGGATCTAATGAAAAACAACACCACCTGAGAAAAAACAACTGAATTTTCCTTGTCTTGTCTGATTTTGAAAGTATGAAGCTGTCCTAGGTTTCCTTGAAGCATGAAGATACATAAAGGTTACTTTCCATGTATGCTAAGGAGCGCAAGCTTCATTTTTTGTTTTATGGTGGGCAATACCTCTGTTTAGTGTTGTTGCTAACATATAAGCCAAACATACCACTGTTCTGTCAGTTTTCACTGAAGGAACTGTTTTACCCCTTATGGTGTTCGACAAACTCAGAATCCAGAACCAGAACCTAGTTTCGGTTTCGGCGTGTTTATATACCTATGATATGAAGGAATCAACAGTCAGGCAGACATGTACATGACATGCAAAACACACCGTAGATAGCGATACATCCGGTTTCTAGGACTAAGCTTTTTGGGACAGAATACTGCACTGGGGGGGGGGGGCACATAACAATCTATACATACATATACACATACAGAGACACACACACACACACATATATATATATATACGTACACATATATATATTTGTATTTGTATATGTATACATGCGTCTCTACATGTGTAGTATATATAAACATCTCTATATATCCATGTAGCGTAGTGTGCATATATATATATATATATGTGATATTCTTGTTTGTACGTATAGATGAAATTAATCATACACATATACATGTATGACTGTGTACATACATATACATGTAAACATATACATATATATATATATGCATATGCATATGTATATGTCTATAGGTTTTTATGTATTTGTGTATTTATGTATATATGTATATATGTACGTATGCACATATGTATATGTGTACATATGTATCTACGTATGTATGTGTGTAAATATGTATATATGTATATATGTATACATGTATATATATGTATATATACGTATATGCGTATATGCGTATATGCGTATATATGTATACATGTATATATGTATATATGTATATATGTATACATGTATATATGTATATATGTATATATGTATATATGTATATATGTATATATGTATATATGCATATATGTATATATGTATATATGTATGTATGTATGTATGTATGTGTATACGTATATACGTATATATGTATATGTAAGAGAACCCTTCATGTATCATTTGACCCGTGGCCTTGTGTCGTTTCTTCTTCCTTATTCCTTACTCCCTATTCCTTATTTCCTTATCCCTTATTCCTTATTCCAGATTCCTTATGTCCCTTACTTTTTCAAGGTTTTAACAGTTTTAAAGCTTGTAAAAGTGTTGAAAATTTTCAATTTTTTAAAACTTCCAAAATCTGGAAAGCTTTTAAAACTTTTGAACTTTTAAAACTTTTAAAGCTTTCAAAACTATTAAAATTTAAACTTTCCAGACTTTCAAAACTTGTAAAACTTTTGAAACATTTAAACTTTCAAAACTTTCCAATCTTTTCAGACTTTTAAAACAATTAAAACTCTGAAACTTATGAAACTTTTACACCTTTTAAAACTTTCAAGACTTTCAAAATTTTTTAAAACTATTAAAACTTTGAAAACTTTCACAACTTTCACGACTTTTAAAACTTGTCGAACTTTTAAAACTTTAAAACTTTCAATACTTTCAATACTTTTACAACTCTTAAAACTTTCAAAACTTTTGATAAACTGAAAACTTTTAAACTTTCAAAACTTTCAAGACTTTCAAAACTTTTAAAACTTTTAAAACTTTCAAAACTTTTTAAACTTTTTAAACTTTTAAAACTTCTGAAACTTTTAAAGCTTGTGAAACTATTAAAACTTTCAACACTTTCAAAACTGTTAAAGCTTTTGAAACTTTCAATGCGTGGGGATTTGATCTTGATGATGCCCTTGTCGCTCACCCCACAGAGCTATGTTGGATAATGGCGTGGTTGCCCTCTACGAACTCAGCCACTCTCTCTTTCCCTTTCTCACACGTAAGCCTCTCTCCCCGTGCAGGCAGATCCAGAGCTCGCTTGTTTTGCTCCCTCGCGGCCAGCGATGGATCGTCTGTGCTCGGGATGGCTCTGTCCCTCGGAAGGTCACAGAAGACGATAGCTTTTGGCTATGGGCAATGCTTTCTTGAGCATGTGCTCACACTTGAGCCAAAGTTGCGTAGGCGGAAAGCATACAGAAAGGTTCGGCATTGCGGCGTGCGTAGCACTTCCACAAGCCTAAACCTAGAGACGAAGGACGCGTAGCGTGCCTTCTCTCTTGACCTATACATGGCCATGCTCACAGCTCTTATCGTGACACCATCGAACTTGACTAGGCATCGCAGTCCGTTCGCACCCCCCATGAGTTGCGTCTCCGACGCTGCTCACCCGGAAGATGGCGCGATAGGAACACTAGGGATTAGTCCGCCGCAACTTTGAAATGTGGAATCAGAGCCTTGCATCCCAATTAGAAACTGTGTGACACTCAGCTACGTCAGTAACGATCCCCTGAAATGACAAACGAATCAGGCGTCACCAAAGAAAGAGGCATTCGCAATGAAGTTCATGAGCGAAGCGCAGAGGTCACATGCATAAAGGCATAGCCGATCATACGTTGTCCCGATACCACTGACGGGTAGCCGCGGGATCAGAGGGAGGATCACGTTCCCAGGGCCTGAGATTTTCTTCTGGATATGGAGATCTGCCCTTCCCTTTGGCTTTTCCCTTGTTTCTGCTCTTGCCCTCGATGTAGTCGTGGTACATGTTGGAATTCCATCCTCCATGTCTTCCACCTCCTTTTGGGCGAGATTTCGGTGCAGCAGTGGATGCGGAAGCGCTCGAGGTTTCTTCTGCCGTGACAGGTGTGTCCATGATGGAGGTCTGTCCATGCGGAAGATACTCATCGGCTGAAATGTGATGTAGTGCCTCAGGACGACGTGCGTTTGGATGCAATTGTCGTTCTACCCTACTGGCGCGCAGCTTGTCCAAGAGATGGGACGGCATCTGTACGTTGTGATCCACGAGCAACCCGATGGTCTGCACGGAATGGTCCGTGTGCATCAAGAGGATCCCGACTGGGTCGATGTACAGAAAGTCCACTGGTCCAGTTGGCGTAGGCCGAAGAACAGAGAATTGCGAGTGTCCTGTCACCATGGGAATAACTTCGCATAGGACGTTCAAGCAACAGAAGTGCATCACCTTCACGTCGTTCTCGTCCTTCAGATAGGTGCTAGGGTTGAAGTTTTCCCTGCCAATTCCCATCACGTTGGCTCCTCGGATCAACGTCGAGATCAGCTGGTTCGTTCGGAAGCGCTTGAGGGTGTACGTCCCGTTGGGATCATACGATTTGACATTTTCCCTTTCTTTGGCAAAACGAAGGATTTCTTCATCAGTCACCTCCCTGCTC